ATCGGAAGAGACCTCTGTAGGCCTAATGCTGAAATTAGATCAGCCTGTTCCTGTCATATTTTGTTATCTTTGAAAGTTTTGAAATTCCACAGCCTCCCTGTGACCCTGTTGCAGCACTCAACAGCTTTATTGTTATACCCAGCCAAGAGCTTCCCTGCAATTTGGGCCTGCTGCCTCTTGCCCTTTCACTGTACACCTCTCAGAAGAATCTGGGCCTGTCTTCTCTACAACTCTGCATTAGTTGAAAACAGCAACGAGATTCTCCCTCAGCCTTCTCTTTTGTGGGCTGAACGGACCCACGCCATGTGCTGTAGCCACCTGAGCATTTTACTTGCCCTCCACTGGATGTCACAGCATCTCTCTTGCATCGGGAGCTGACGACCAAACACAGGACTCCAGACACAGCCCCACATCAGTTCTGAGAAAAACCTTTAGTGTGACTCCTCTGCTTGTTAGTCTCTTCCTTTGTAGAAGTGGCAGCAGTTTTGTTGTAATTTAAGCTTTCTTACCTCTCCAGATACCCTTGTACTGACTCTTCTGTTTGAAGATGGAGGTGGCCCAAGGATCTTTGATCCAAATGCAATATGTGATACATCCTGAGTTTTACTGCTGCGTGTATTGCCTTGTCCTCTATTAACCAAGCTGCCTAAGTTAAGAAAAATAGTTTAAAAAAAAAATTACAGTACTTACAAAGAATATACTTTTTTTCAAATCAACTGAAATAAAAGAATTATGACTACTAAGCATACATAAAAATTATGTTCCTTTACAGCACAATCCCTAGAAATATGTAGGAATACCAAATGCACATTTTATAAAAGTGTGTCAATGTGAAAGCAAGAAAATTTTGGCCTATTATACAGATATATTTCTAAACTCCTTACTTTAAAGATTTATACGAAAAGGGGCTATTTATAAATATAAAAAAATTGTTTTGCATGATTTCTTTGGAACTTAATGAAAACCTAACGTGACAGGAAGAAAAACAATTCTAATAAATAAATAACAGAATAAATAAATAACACAGGAAAACAGGCAAGAATGTCAAGGTATCACTCACAGCTCAGAGGAGAACTATTTAGATGTAGCTTGCTTTTTGAAATTACTGAATCCACTGTATTACCAGGGCTGAGCCCTCATATTGAAAACATACTCTATTCCTGTCAAATGTTCTACTCCTTTCATTATTTATTTTTCACCTTTTAAAATGTAGACATATTTTTATAATTTTTTTCAAGCACAGAAAATGCCAACCAGTCTGCAAGACAAACAAGAAGTAAACATGGAATGCAGCTGGGAAAAAAAATGAAAAGGGAAGGTCAGTAAAATGGTTACGTATTAATTAACTCTACCACCAGAGCTGCAGAACTGCATGTAGTATCTATTGTCCTCTTTTTTGATTCTCCAAGCTTGTCAGTGAATTCTCCTTTCCAGAGCTCATTAAAAAGGGTATCTTCACATCTATAGTTAAAATTTACAATGTCTGAAGATTTTTTTCTTGCTACAACTTCAGTGTTAAATTGCTCTCTCACTTGAGATCTTCATAAAGCAATATAGTAGAAACAAAACATTTTCTTGATTGTCCTAAGAATTTTTCATGGAAATATTTAGTTCCACTGTCATCAAGGAAATGAAAAAAGATCATGCATTACCCACCAAATATCATAATTCACTGTAGTAATAAACAAAGAAGCCACCACTTTCTGCCATTTTCTTCCCTTTTTCCTGATGTGACATTTGGTTGCTGCTAACAGCTGCCATTTCACAAGATGAGATGACCTGTCTTGGTTTAACACCAATTTCTTTAATTTGCTGACTACCTTGGGATGTTGTTAGCTCCAATTATAAAAGCTGATTTGCATGAAAATCTCTGTTTATGAACACATTAATCGACTGCAATTAATTACCTACATCTACACATAATAGCATGTTGATGTCATAATGAAATAATACGTAGATAAGACAAAAAAGTTCGGGATTTTGATTATCAAATAAACAAAAAGTTGGTGGATAAAAAGAATATTTTCCAATTAAAATGTACTTAAACATACTAAAGCTCCCATTTTCAAGAAGGCCAGCTTCTGAAATTTGAAAAACATGTCTGGAAGAACACATGCTAGGTTCATAAAATGGGATTAAAAATAAAGATTAAAACTTAAACTGAAGGCATCTCATTTTCATGCAGGTCAGGGATTTTATCCTTAATTATTTTACTATATATACCTAAGGGCTATATATCTTTGTAGTCTAGATGGTAAAACCTGAATCTTTTTTAAAATGAATGTTCATTTTTCTGTTTAGATATATCATTCACACTATTGTACTCACTTCAGTTTTACAGTCCCTTGTATTTTGATAACCGAGCCAAGTAGTATTGATTTTAATACAATCACTGAGAAACTGAATTCCAGTGTTTCCTCTGCTAGTTCAAAAGCAAACTTACAATCAAACTTCACAACAGAACTTAGGCTTGACTACTTGTAGGGCAATAATACTCTAAAAATATTATTTACACTTTAATATTACAAAAATGGTACTTGCGTGTAAGAAAAAGCTGAATGTAATTTAAATAAGTAAATGTATGAAGGGTCTTACTCCAAGCAAAAATTTAAAACCTCTCCTATTCATTTCAGCTGCTGTAGGACAAAGACTGCCATTACTATTGAGTATAACTAGAGAGATAACTTGAAAAAGCATCAGCATGGTAGCTTACTGCAGCTAAAAATCTTTGACTTGTTTTTTTCATATTCCAGTAAAAGTAGTAACGAAGTTTAAGAAGTATTTTCTTAAACCTTTCATATTATCAAGGGTGTTCTCAAAGAAATACTTCTTTCAAAGTTTACTTTTCTTTAGAGTTTCATGAGATGCTACACCCTAAATACTATTGTTGGCTGTAACAGTCTTATCTTTCATAGTATTAAATTTCACTAGTGGTTATCATTCCCTGTAATTTACCTTATTCCTTTGGTCAATATTTTGCACATATACTTCCAGAGCATTTAAACAGAAATGGTAGAAATGATTATTCACTGAATTCAAACACTAAAGATGAGAATCCTCAAGGCCGAGGAAGTACTAAACACAGTGGAATGAAAATATATCTTCCTTACCTACAGCACCACTTTTAACATTGCCTACACTGATGAAGATATATTGGAAATGGAGTCCTTGTCTGATTTGTTTGTAGAGACCCACTTCTGAGCTACTTCAGACCTACTTCCTTCTCCAAAGTTGTTTGACTACCCTGTTTTAGTATGATGAATCAGCGACTCATAAAAGGTGGAACAGAGTATGGGGGAAAAGAAAAACTTTAGTAAGACACTGCAATTATTATATGGGCCAAATTAAAGGCTTAGTCTTGTGTCTCGTGTCTCATACAGAAGCCAGTAATAACATAACAAAAGAGTAGAGGAACGAGGGTGCCTATAGATAGAGATTTCACCTGTGCATTTTTAAGCTCAGCAGCAATAAGTTTATGTACTTGGAAAGCTTAAGCTGACAATAGCAATCTATTCAACATTTTAAAAGGGGTGAAATTATTACTTCTCCATGAAGGACATGAATCAGAGCATACAAAATATTCTCATTTTGAAATCCATTATAACCCTCTTCTTCAAGAAGTGCTTGCACATATTCCAGGATATTTACTGTTGCAAATGGATCTACAGAATAATTTTTTTAATTAAAAAAAGAGTACAGATTAGTTATTTGCAACTGGATTTACAAAAAACAGTAATATCCTGGGAGCAAGGAAGTTATATTTTTAATGTGTTTAGAATTCTAGTAATACTTGTGAAAAATACACTTTTTTCCTACACCGATATATTTCGTCATTAGAAATATAGCCGATGTCTTCAAAACTCAACAACTGATTTAAAAAACCTGATTTTGTTCAACCGCAAAAAACCTGTCAATAGCTGAAAATTTTATTTCATTCTGAAGGTAACTATGTAAAGACCACTACTGTTTACAAATATGAATTTATAACTACAGAGCTCCATTAACAAACACAAACAATCTATATCTCTATTGTTGTTATTTAATGATTACCTATCGCATTACAAAATTGTTTTAAATATTCATTTTTAAAAAATCAAACATTAAGGACTGTAAAGACACTTGCCCCAGTGAAATTTTGCTATTGACTTCACTGCAGGTAGGAAGCAATATACAGTTTTAAAGCAAAACAGCAGCTTTAGTAAAAAACATTCATTTGTCTGACCCAAGTCTATTTAAGAAATTTCATTCAAGTCCTGGCATTTGCTTCTACGGTTCAGTTTCTACTCAGTCTTGCCTTACAAATCTTATGCAGACAGACATGTAAATTTAAATATAAGAACAGAGGAAGTGCTATTCTAGAACAGGCCAATAATCTGCCTAACAGCCAGTTTCAACGGCCAAACCCAAATGCTTCAGAAATGCCACAAGATAATTTCAGAAGGGATTTATGAAATAATCTGCCTTCAACATTGTTCTTAGTTTAAGGCTGCAAAAACACAGATGTACAAGATTAAATTTTCCCTTCACATTTTTACTGGTGTGAAATACAACGATACGGACATTACCCTTACTCATATAAATGGCCAACTGATTTTGGAATCAAATTTCTTTACTTCACCAGCTTTTTGTAGTAGTGGATTCCATATTTTAGTAATATTCTGTGTAACATGGTATTTTCTTTTATTAGTTTTTAATTTTCAACTGCGTAATCGCATCAAATCATGTCTTGTTTTTGTGTCATGAGACAGGAAAAGCAGCTTCTATCAAACTTTACAAAGTAACTAATAGTACAAAGAAAGTCGCTTAAGTCAATTTTTAATGTTTTCAGCATATCTTCACGTGCGAGTTTTTTTTCATGCTGCTTCTCTCAAACACTTCTTTACCTGTAAAACCTTTGAGATGGTTAAACTGATAGTCTATAAAATATTTCAGATAATAATGCAAAACTGATGTCTTCAAAGGTTTGATACCTTTTCCATTTCATACTAATTTGAACTTCCTGCAACTCAGTATCTTAGTTTTTAAAAAATGTAGCTACATATTAATCCAAGAATTCCACTGAGCAAGATGTATGGTGATGACTTTCCTTCCTTGAGTCATTTCATTTTGACATTTTAAAGCTTAACGACAGTTAGCATTTCTCCCCAATGTACAACCCTTTGCATTTATCAAAGCTAGATTTTACATGGTATCATGTTACATATTTACTTAGCACAGTGGTCCCCAGGTCACAATTTTTCAACGCAGTGGCCACAAGAAATAAAAACAGTAAAAAAACTTTTAGAAAAATATTACAAGTCCCGCATGTTACCTGCTCTGTAGTGTTTTTCATGAAAAAGTACATGGGGGATTGCCCATCTTACAAGTTCAAAACTCTCTGAAGTCCCACTCTTTACTAACCTAGTAACTGTATCGTATGAAAATTTTGCTCCCACATTATTTACTTGTCTTTCGAGATTATTCATAACTATAAACAACACAGAGCCTAGAATAAAAAAAATTGAGGCCTCCTCCTGTTAGCCTTCAGCTATAATAAAAATTTAAAATTTGATCCTCTGCTTGCTTTCTGTCTCCTAATTTTTATCAAAGTCAATAGTTTGCATCTTGGCACATGATCACCTAGCTTCTTTAATAAATCCCTTCTATGCAGTGATATCAAAGTCTAAATTATATGTTTTATAATCTTCTAGCTTACAGAAGCATTCAAATAACTCCAAGTCACCAGTAAGACAAGATTTCCTTCTTCAGAGTACAAGATGAGGAGACTATGCGTGGTCATATTGTTAGAAGAGTTTCATTAATGTAAACATACTTTAAAAAGAAGTGTAAAAACAGAACAGACACACTTCAATGTACATTCAGAAGACATACCTCAAATATTGTTATTATAAAACCCACAGTTGAATTACAATTGTTCAGGCTGCACATAGATCTCTGAAACTATAGAACAGACCCATGTCTACGTGCTCATGATATTACAGCTATGCAAGAGCTGTCATGTTTTATTTTAAGACACTGGAACTCTTAACATTAACTTCTACAAAACGTTGTTATTTGTATGCATACTGTATAGATCGTATTCACAGTATTTTAATGCAACAGAATACCTGTTTCTTGCACTGTTACTGGGTATCTCCTGCATTTTATTTCTGGCTTGTGAATTTTAGTCAGGTTCAGCAATTGTGTAACTTGTGGCACATCTGTATTTAGCTGGCAGGTTCGGGGAATAACATCTGTGGGATCATATGGCATAAATGGAACAACATATATATCTAGAATCAAAAAACATGGACTTTACTTCACTCAGATGACATAACAGAATGAAATTTGACTTACATGATTTGTTTGCATATATCTTAGTCATATGGTTATAACTGTTTAATAGATTATGGCAATCTGAAAAAATTGCTGCAATTGTTCACTTTTAAGGCAATAAGCATGTAAATTTTTAAATGATATTGTGTATTTTTCTAGGGCAAAAATTTGAATAAACTTAAACTAAGAAATATGCACTAATGGCTAGAATACCCACAGTAAATCAACTTCTTTGATTTGGCAAGTGAACAGCAAACCAGAATCACAAAATACATTTTGTTAATTTTTATTTGAACTCAGCTTTAAATTTAATAGTAATATACTGATTTTCAGACAACATGAACATCTTGAAATGGTACTGATATCAGTGGGACTGAAGTAGCAAACAGAGGGTCCCACATAGGCAAATAAAGAATTTGACAAACTTTAATTCCAAACTTTGGACACCATTACATTTTCATGATAAACTATAAAGCTGTCAGCCTATCTATTCTTGTGACACTAGACACTAGTAGAATGTGATCTGATTGCCTCTGCTTTGCCTTTGATAACCAATATAAGCTAAGTTTATGAAAGTTATTCTCTACGAAGAAAGGTACCCAGAGTCAGAACCATTCCTGATGGAAATTCATTCTGATGCAAATCCATTCCAAATTTTATAAGACCTGAATATAGTAAGCTAATGAATATTAGCCTCTTTTCCAAGGATAAGAAGAGTAAAATATAACCCCAAAACCAATCACAAGTTTTGGATCAACTATTGAGATCCTAATAGAAAAATTCAAGTGTCCCATGTCATATTTCAGTAGTGGACATATTTAACTAAGACAAATGCTAGCAACCATTTTTCCACCAAGCCGGTACTTTATTTACCACTGTAAGACAACACCTAGTGACAAAAACCCATATGTAACTTTGGGATTACTACGGAAACAAAAGACTAGGTATATATCAAGCTTATATGCCTCAATATCATGGGGCAGAGAAGGTGAATTCTTTCCTCTATCTCAATGATCCGATACAGAAATTATTTCTTAGTATAGGCTGTTTCTCCTTTCAACTTGCTATCATTTTAAGAATGCAAAAAATACTATATATGAGCTACTAAGAAAGAATAACATACACATTGCACCTTGAAATCACTACTTCCACCACCACCAAGGTTTAAGCAAGGAACTTGACCCTCATTAGAAGTTGCAATGTCATTGCATTCAGTGGAGCTCAACTAACTGGCCCAGTCATCTCAGAGGAAAAAACTTTATCAAATCATTATTAACTGAAAGTTAATTAGAAATAACAAAAAACTACTATCATTTTTCTGTAATTGGGTATGAAGTATAGTTTTTTTTAATACAGCCAAACCTTGAGCAGTAATGTAATTTTAAAACTTGCCTAGATAAGAAAATTCATAAGCATACAGAAAATACTAACGCCCACCAGCTGTGTAATAATCATAGAATTGATAATCCAGTAATTGGAAGTGCAGTATTTTACCATGCGTACAGTTTATTAAAGCTGTCTACTCATTATCTTAGCCACATTTTGGAATTCTGGAACTCATTTAGAACATTTACGCACATTTCAAAACCAGTTTAGAATGGAAGAGAGAAAACAATGCACTGACTGGATTAAAACAAATCAAAGCCAGTGAGGACTCTAACTGCAGTCTCTACTGAGAATTCACCAGATTTTTTTGGTAGTAATTTTTTAATTTTTTTTTTTTCCCCCAATCTCACCAACAAAAACAATAGGAGTAATCACAATGATCCTTATTGGTTTAGGTTTTCTAAATGGAAGATACATTTTGTTACACTTATGGTACTGCTAAAGATCTCTCCTTCAGATACCAGAAAGCTTTGTTCAGGTGTGTTCTTTAAAAGTCACAAAATGAAAATCTGAATGAAACTGAAGATGAACTATACCCAGGGTTCCTCTAATAAAGTGCCAGCTGTGCTTTTTGACTTCTTCCTCTATTACTGCAAATATCAATGAGGAAGGAAGTTCTCTCCCTTGGAAAATAATGTTCAGGATTATGATGCTAGTTTGGAGACTGGTAAACTTTTGACCAATATCCTGCTCTGTTACAAACATAACCTCTCATTTTCAGCTCACCACCAATATTACTTTCCTAATGAACAAGGACACATTAGGATAAATGGAATAAAGATCACAGAGGTGTTTATGATAGTTTCAGAGTTCTGTTTCATTTAATACCGTTTCATTACAGCTTTGTCTTGGATTATTTAAAGAAGAAATCTTTCATCAGCTGCTAATGTCCAAAATTATTAAAACAAACAGCAGATGTTACTAAGTTTAAGTATTTCTCTTTCCTTTCAGACAATCTCTTCTTAGGCAAAACTTGATTTCTACCAGCATAAGATACCCCCATTAAAACAAGCTCTCTACTTGATAAAATCTTGCAAGAATTTCTTCAATAAAATACTTCTATGGAAGTCAATGTTTAAAACAGAGGAGTACACATATATTTACTTAGTCACCTAAAGTCCAACAGTAGCAGATTTAATACGCTGTACTACCACTTCAATTTTCATGAAATAATGTAATCTTTCAAACTGCCAATCTGATGATTAAGAAGCTTTTGATTTTATAATATGAACAGTTATGATTAAGACTACACAGAAATTGTAACACACCATTTTCCTCAGCTGTATCTTGAGGCTTGGATTTTAAAGTGAAGATCTTCCTCAGTTTACAGTTAGCTGAAATACTAATTCCATCCAAAGACTGGAAGACTGCTCCTCTGAATATTTCACTGGTGAATGCTACCAAGTCAATGCACATATTGCACCACTAGAAAAGAGAAAAAATACTCTTTAATAAAACCCAAACACTAATCATTGCAGAAGAGTATTAGTGTATAGATGTCTATAAATGAAGCCACTGTGGAGTATTAGATTCTCAGAGGCTGTGATTCACCATGCATAACATTTTGATATTAAAAAAAATACTGTTTTTGCACTTACAGCAATTATTTATACAATTAGTACATAATGACCTAGTGAGTACCAGCCCAAGTGAGCTCTATTACCTAGCATGTCCACCAAATGTTTTGCAGCTAACTTGTGAGAAAGTACATTTAATGAAGATTTTCTGGGGAAAAAAAGAGAATTGTTATTCAATATTACTTTGTAAGTTAAAGTTACTGCAGCATAAGTGTTCCAAAAGCTATAATTGGAGATTCTTTGATGATTTCTTTCTGAGATTCATAAAGAAATGACCTCTCTAAGGCTTGCACCCCTTCCACACTGAAAACTATCAGGCCAATTTCTAGTATGGACAAGACCCCAGTGTATAAAACAAGAAGTAGTTTTAAGACGTTATTATAAATGTCATCCATTCCTGATAAGACACTTCCAAAAGACAAATCAGATAATGACAACTGCCTAGGTTTCTAAAAATCCTACTTAAGTATGTTTTAATTCTCATTAGATGATTATTCCATTTATTTCAAGAAACACTGTTAGAACAGTAGCATCAATGAGCTACGCTCTCCTGCACTATTCCAGTAGCTCTTTAAATTCTCTCAGTTCCAAGTTTTTTCCACTTAATTCAACACTTCTATATTGCTGTTTTTTATAACACAGAAATGAGCAGTTACAGGTATCTACTTTGAATGAGGATGATATTACAATTCCATTATCCTCCTAGAAAAAAAAGAAGTTTCATATAAAACAAGTAACTCCACAAGCAGAAGAACTAAAAAAATACACTTTCTTGTGGCTTTGTGTTTTCCATTGAGTCCCTCTGGTGTTTAAAAACACATATGGTCATAGTTCTGGTGCTCCTAACAATTATTCTCCTCATCAATTCTGATATCTAGTGAGAGACGAGCTGATGCTAACACATCTTCTATAACCAGGAAATAAACAGAGATGGCCTTGAGGAGAAGTGCAACCATTTTCATGAAATTTGCACCTGTAAAATTTAGTTGACCAATGGGTTGAAGCTTTATTAAGGGAGAAGAATACTAAGACATAATGATTGTGTAAGTCTCATTTCCTTGTAAAGTCAAGTACTAGTTTCTAAATGCCAAATAGTAAATATTTTTTGAGCAAAAAATTTAGGTCCAGACATTACTATTCAGCTTCTAAATCTGAAATTCTGGAAGGAAAGAAATATTTGTTTTGAAGACACCAAGCAATGGAATGGAAAATGCGGTACTTAATTATAACTGATATTTCTATTACTGAGGTTGGAAAACAGCATCATTTGTAAGAATACAATACAAGAAGCTAGCATATGGAAATGTAATCTATGTTCTACCGATGGAACAAACACCACATTATATTCTTATACATAACCAATCATACTGATAACAATGATCAGCTTCTGTATACAATATGTTAAACTATCAGAGCCATGTAAAAGATCTAAGCACTGAAAGCAGCACATACTCCCTCCTTTAAGTAAAAGCAACAATAAAAAGGCAGATAACCATTTAAAAGACAACAGGTATGTATTCAGATACACTAAGAAATACAGATCTACTCTTTAAGGTCAGTCAAGGATTAAAGTTATTAACATACTTCGTCATTATAACTGATCAGAGCATTTAGACAGATCTCTAATTCATGTTTCATTATCTAAATTAAAATACATAACTGAGGTTCATATTCTGATTGAATTTAACTTCATGTACATTAATGCATATTTTAATCCTGAAACATTTGTGCTAGTCTGACACCAAGACCAACTAACTGAAATTATACTGAAGAAAAATAATTTAATTTCAGTGGATCTTGAATTAACAGTAACTTCAGGAGTATAATCTGGTGCATATTAATTTGAAAAAAATCCAACCAGTTCTTCCCACAAAGCAGAAAACTCCTGAAATCTAAAATTATTACATCTGTTTTCACCTGAACTATCTCAAAAGAAGTCATAGCTTCAGAGTTTTTTGTAAAATATTCTCTCATGTCTGGCCTTAAGTCCACAGCTGCTTAGTATACTGTTATCCCGTTCTCTTGGTGCATACTTATATTTTAAAATACTTGAAATCTAACTGGTCTCCTCTCCAAGTGATTTTTTTAAAGCATATTTGAAACTTGAGCCTTTTTACAAGGTTATATGGTAACCATCGGGTTTTGTATCCTGACAGCTATTACCACCTGTTGTGGCTGGGCGTGGGAGAAGGGAACAGGGAGAAGCTGACAGCTATTGTTTTATTTTCATCAGTTTGACATATATATGCCATTTTATATATACCAAAATTGCAAAGAACCTGAAGAACATGAAAGTAACCATCAGCTACAGTCTACCTGCAGCTCCAGTGAACGTGATAAAAGCTCACTACAGGAGAAGGTAGACGTGAACAGGAGCACTATAATGAAAAAGTATCAGGGACACAGAGAACTTTACAAAGGTTGAATAGACAGCAAAAGTGGGAGATAAACACATTACAAACAGCATTAGGTCTTGAAACATGGGAATGAGCTCCTAATGTTAAAAGAAGGGTAGAAGAGTAGTAGCATTAAGTGGTTCTGATACCATCCAGTAGAGGGGACATACACATGTATCTTGAATCGGTGGGAACTGAGTTCTAAACCAAACAGTAATTTCAACAGGTCTATAAACGTACATAAAACATTTTGAATAAAAAAGCATGCTTGACCACAGTTCTAGGAATATTCCCAAGGTACCTACTATTTTGCGCTTGATTGTAAACAGAGGAATTTTTGCATGCAGAGGGGTTACAGACAACTCCTTGTGGACTGTTGATAAATACAATCTTCTTTTAATATTTCCTAAATCAGTTATCCTATAAAAGAAAAAGCAGGAGAGAATGGAACAGATCTTTGTCAATTCAATAAGCCAGTGTCTTTGGACAATCCCAAAACAGCTATTCATATGCAGAACCTTTATGTCAGTGATAGCAAATATGGTATTTAAGACCTACTTCTTTTACAAGATTAGTAACAAGATTTCTTTCTCAGATTCAAACTTGGTGGCTATATCCCTGCACATATAAAATCATTTTACATGCTAATTTTATTCAACAGTCTACACTTTGCTAGATTTCCATAACCCTCCAGACTACGAAAGAATTCAATTTGGCTGAACTGAGAATCCAGTAGCCTTTAATAACCACACTTGTTTCTGCCCCTTAAGCTTGTGTCATCTCGGGACAACCCGTCACCTGCTAACTAGAAAAATATTTGTTTTCTTTTCCTAAAAATGCCTCTGTCATTTTATATAGACTCTTCGTTGGCTTAAAGGTAGACACAGGACATTGTCTGGTTTACTTCCTGAGCACGTAACTTCAAATGTAAATTATAATACAGAAGTTTATTGCAATAAAAAAGCAATACATTTTTTGCATTAAAGCTGAAGGGAAGAAGGAGGAAGGGGGCGAAGTGCGGAGTTATGGTGTTTTCTCTAAAGTAATTGTAACATGGAGTCCTGCTTTCCTGGAGATGGCCAAACACCTGCCTGCCGATGGGAGGTGGTGAATGGATTCCTTGTTTTGCTCTGCTTGTGTGCAGCTTTTGCTTTACATGTTAAACTGTCTTTATCTCAACCCACAAGTTTTCTCACTTTCTCCCTTGTCATTCTCCCCCCCCATCCCACTGTGGGAGAAGTGAAAGCGTGGCTGTGCATGGCTTAGCTGCCTACTGGTGTTAAAGCACAGCAGCAGCACAACCTTCATATCCCCCCAGCAGTCCTACCTTATTATAGCGGAGAACAGACATTTCTTTAAAGGTTGCAATTTGCATGAGAAAATAATGATTAGTTTACCTATTATTTTTGAACAAGCCTATTCCTGACACGTAAGTATTCCTCTGTAATTAGCAACCCCCTGAGAAGATGACAACTAATGACAATAAACAACTTTGTCACTACTTAGTGTTGTTAACAATAATTGCTCATAATCATTATATTTAAACACTGGGTTTTACTTTAAAATTGTGAGATTGTGCTGTAGACTTCTTTCTTTTATTACTGAAAACAATTTTTCGTTAGTAAAGACCTACCTGTAGCTTAACTAATGAAATGTTGTCATCCAAAATTTGCTGAAATGTTCTTCAGATACCTTAGGTCAGCTTAGGAGGCCATTAACTCTGGAGCAAGTTACATGATTTAGCTATTTTTGGCAATTTGAGAGCTCAACCATGCACAGTACAGAATATACTGCAAGTAGGTAAACATCAAAAGGTTCTACTAGTTAGTACAGGCGATAAAAACACAGCAGCACCTTCTTGTTTCCCCATAGTCATTAAAACCATCATGCAAAGCAAACAGAAAGTCCACCAGCTTCCCAGAACTTGTTGATTCTTTCCTCTCCTTTGCAGACAATCTGATCTTTAATCTATTCATCCTCATAACATGGGTGGGCAAATCAAGACAAAGTGGAAGAGTCTACTAGCTGTTTCATTTTGAAAGACTAGCAATTCCTCTCATAAATCACATGCACTTCAAAGGCAGAAATTTCACTACTGTGCTGGGGGAAGAACATTATATCCTCACCAGTGGTATCGTTTGACAGAGCAGATTTCAGTATCAGCTGCACATATATTTACAGATGAATGAATAATACAATCAAGTCCTTGAAAAGGACTTCTGATGACATCTAATGAAATCACATCAGAAGACCTCAAAGTGTCTTCCAATGCTAGCATTCTGGGCTTCATCTTACTTTTGAAGAAATTTAAGCAAGATGTGAAATAATTTACCTAATATCATCAGCAAGTTAGCCGCATAGCTAAGTCTGTGCGCCAGATCAAGGCTCAGTTCCATCCATCATTTTGCTTCTCATATACCCTTTGATGAAAAAACTATGGATGTAGTTTTCAGAAACTCTCCACTCTGTTCTAAATCTTGATGTTCAGAAGTGCTAAGAAATTGAGGCACCAAGGAACTTCAAAGAATTGGAGTAGTGGTTGCTTGAAACTCCCCTAGATCTCCTGGTTATGTATATAGCTGAGCAACTCAACTATATAGCTGAGGAACCAGGTAGCTGCAGTAGCCTGAGTGCTGAA